TTAATAATACAATAATCAATTTTACGCTGAATAACATAAGTTTCTAGTGATCAGCATGGGATATGTCAATAAAAATTAGCACAAATTAATTTAATTATGTTGGTCTGAGGAAACTACAAAATGCTACAAGATTTCATTAGTCCAGTGATTGGTAACTAATTTAAATGTAATTTTATGTTTGTCAAAATGCCACACTGTATTGAATATACAGCCATTGTCATGTGAATACATTCTCTCGTTGATGATGTTTGTGATTGATAACCAAACTAAATTTTGTTCAGGTTTAGATGTTCATGGTTTGAATACAAGAAATCGAAAGCAATTATATTTGCCAAACTCGAATCTTTCTGCTTTTCAGAAAGGTACTATGTTTACTGCTATTAAACTATTCAACAGACTGCCCATAACCATTCAAAGCCTTAAAAAGAATAGAATTAGTTTTAAAAATAGGCTGTTTTTATATCTTATGAATAATTCCTTTTATACAGTTTCTGAATATGTGGAGCATAACATAAACAATTAGTTTTAATTATTTTGTTATCTGTGTGTTTGTTTAAATTTTGTATGACGACCTTCATGTCCATTTGTTTGGACTTGTGAAATGAAATGAAATGAAATGAAATGTATGTATGTATGTATGTATATATAAGTGTACTAATACTCTTTATGATTATGCTATAATTAGTTACTAATATTACGTTAGCTTAATGCATGAACTTTAACAAAACTGGAAAGGTATTTACGTTAAATTTGTTGGGACTGGGCCCTCATCTTATAAAAAAAGAACTTACTGGGCCACCGTCTCATAAAGGTTGAGAACCACTGCTCTATGTTACCTCCAACACAAGAGCCCATAACTGGAACCTCCCCTGAGCTGTGTGAGAAATGAGATTCCCATGGTAGTGAGTACTGTTTCCTGGGATGTGACACCATGTAATTTAGTAGAATGGTTCAGGTATCCTGAAGAAGGGGACACCAGGTTCCGCCACAACATTGCTACCTACATAACAAAATACACAGCATCATATACTCAAAAACTGGCCCCTTTGCTTGCTTGTTTTCTTTGAAAGTTTCATCTATCATGGTTTGTCTGTTATCAGCATTTTGCTCGTTAGCTTGTACTTTGTGGGGCAAAAAAATTTGGTCAGGGGAATGTGTTTTGTGTGTAGCCTGCAGCTTCTTTTTAAATTGGTAGTTCTTACTTTTCAGGCCTAATCGTTTGCTTGTTTTCTTTGTAAAAGAAACGTGACATAGCATAACATAATAAAATATAATCAACAACTTCCATTTCCACCATCTATACCTTGGTCTTCCCAGATGTTTCTCTTCTAAACAATTTCTGACAAAAATTCCACATTTCTTCCTGTCCTCTCCATTCTTGCTACATAGTCTGCCAATTAAAATAAATTCTGATTTAATAACTAACAAAGTAAATAATATCATAAGCTATGAAGGTCTTCATTATGTAATTTTCTCCATTCTGACATTAGTTCATCTATTTTAGATATCCCTATAGAAATTTTAATTACTAAGCAACAGATGAAGTACATACAATACTTTCTCAATTTATAAAACTAGTTTTTATTTCAGACCAGAGCTACATGTTGTAGCAATCTTTCACTGAATGGAAGTATAGAATTCTAACAGGGTGCCATCTAGTGACAGAATCCTTATATATAGAAGCTTAAAGCTTGCAGTTCTGTCCATATTCTTATGTACAAGTCACTGTATAGGTTTCAGTATCAGGAGGCAGCAATAAAGGTCACTTCAGGCTTGGAATTTTCCAAAAGCAAGCATAATTGTTGAAATCATGATGTAATGTAGGACAGCGGATCAATGGAGACATTATCTGCAGAAACTGTAGCTAGAGATAATTATTTTGAAGGTTCTGGCCATTTATTGCATCTGACATCATGAGTAATGTGCAGCTGCATATTAAGCCAAGGTAAAGATTATGCAGTGTACACGTGTATATGGCGGCAATGTCAAAATAACAACTATTAGTGAAATTTACCAAGTGTCTTTCAGTGTCTATTTCATATTTGAGGACCACAATTATTTAATCACAGACTGCAATAACCAGTCAAGATGTCCATTAAAGAAGTGCATTTTTGTTGTTTAGTGGCGAACTACACATTGTACGTACTGTCTTTCCTGTTGAAGAAAAGGGGATATCAAATATTTTTATGAATTTTGTTTTTACACACAGTCTTTGCTGAAAACACAGCAGCATCACATAACAATGCTTATTATTATTATTATTATTATTATTATTATTAGTAGTAGTAGTAGTAGTAGTAGTAGTAGTAGTAGTAGTAGTAGTAGTAGTAGTAGT